CCCTTATTCGAACGCGACACGCTAGACATGGACGGAGGTGTTGCTGTTGCACAGCGGTGCGTTTGGCTGTGCACAATTTTTAATTCCTCCTCCTCGTTTATTTCTGTTGGGCCTCGCTCTTGCTGCTCGAATACAGGTTCTGGACTGCCTACTCCAAGGGCCGGAGCAAGTCCAACGCGGACGCACCGGAGGAGGAAGCCGCGCAGCGATTGTGGAGGTGAGGAATGCCCAGTGATGGGGGGAGGGAGGGGGGGGGGGGGAGGGTGCACCTAACAAAATCGTGATGCCGTATTATTCGGAACCTAGATTCGTATGAAGAGGGGACAGGAGGATCGACGAGCCACGTTGTTTTGAGACGCCAAAGGCCCCCCAAGGTAGAATGATCAATCAGTGGGGGCTCTGTGGACTCGTATACTGCACCACCTGGTGTGACGCGATGCCAGCCTGCAGAGATCAAATTTGCGCTTGTTTTTGTACGCCGAGCGTTGTAGTCTATTATATATTGTAGCGTGTGGGGACAAGCGAGTTGGAAACGAGTTTGGGAGGGGGGTGGAGATGTCTTACCATAAATGTAATGGTGGGAAGTTGCTTGATACATGCTGGCATTCTGTACATGGCAAGCCGGGGTCGACCAACATCTATCGAATTTGGCAGTTTTCAAAAAGATGGTGTTTCGAGCCCGGGTTCTAAAGGCGGACCATGTCTCTGCCTGCGAACCACCTGCTGCATTTACGGTTGAACAATGCCGGAAAAATGACCGTAAAGGACGAAGTAGTGTTCCCTCCGCTGCTGTACGGTCTGGGCATTTTTGGGAGAAAAAAGAATCGGAGCTAAAACAGCAACACTACTCATGTCGTCTGTTGTGCACTTTGTCGTTCTTTTGGCCCCCACTTTGCCCGCGGAATGGTCTTTGTCCCCGCAGGTATCGACAACCATTAGCGTTCGGGGTTTACCAAGCGGCCCCGGAAGGGCGTTTGCTCGGCGTGGAAGAGGTGTCAATGTCGCTCTATCGGCAAAACGACGGTCTCAGCGAGGAAGGCCTCATGCGACAGGTGTGTGTGTTCTCTTGGACTGGGATGTTCTTGCGCAGGTAGATACAGGCACCGCGGAGGTTGAGCAGGATGACAAGGGCATGTTGTTCAAGCAATGGACTAAGTCTTTATGATGGCCTTGTATACTGTTTTGCAGCCATTTGTTTCGTGTATACACCATGGCAGTATCGTTGTAGGTTTGGTCTTTGACGCGTTTCAGGCGAGGAGGCATACCGCGTGACCAAAGGCTTCTTCTGCAACGTGGTATTGTACCCTTGTGCGGTGCCGTTTGGTTCGGCCCTGCTGTTTTGCGTTGTCTGCCTCTCCTGCGGGGAAACGTGTGACAAACAGGAACCATTTTTGCTGCATTGCTTGAGAAAACACTGCTGTTTTCTCTGTGAACCCACCAGTAACAGCAACAACACTTACATTTTCGATCTCCCCCCCCCCCCCCCCTCCCTGTTCTTGGTTATTGTCTAACGACCGCCCCTAACCCTACGGCTATGAACCCAAAGGGAAGGAAGTCTGCATATCGGAAGCTTCTCCAACGAAAAACTCGAGCATCACCCCTCTCCACGGCAGGTTTACATTCTCCGTCAAGCCGAAGGGGAAAACCACCGACCATGCACAGCTCAAGGGCTCCAAGGGGGCGCTGAAATGAAAAACTCCACGTATAAAGGTGGCAACGTCCGTCTTGTCTCCATTTTTTTGTAACTCTTGCGGTTGCTGCTGTGTTAACCGCCCGTGTTGGTTTGCGTTCTCCTGGTGACACACCTTAACCGTTCTTGGTTTTTTTTAATTGTGGGTGTTGTTTTGTTGCTCTTGGCACCAGCGCCTTGGTTCTCGTCTCGAAACGTTTACACATGCCGTCGGTTTTGGAATGTCCTTGGGGCCACTCCCCACCCCCGACTTGTTGGCGTTGGATTGGGTGAGTGGCGTTCTCGATTTAGCGGGTGGGATCACCGGTATGGTTGGCCTCTGGTTGTAGGCATGTTACGTGCACGCTTGCCCGTCGCGGTGCACGCGATACACGATCGTGCCAAAGCGGTTTTGCTCGACCGTGTTTCTTGGCCGGAGTCTGTCGGGTCTCTCACAAGAACTTCTACAACTGTTTGCTGTATCGAATCCGCATGTGGGGGTGTGTGCCGGCTAAGGCGGGCAGTATGAGGGTTCGGGAGTGGGGCGGGAAGATGATGGTCAGTTGCGGGGCATTGTATGCATGCGCGTTTTCGGCGATGTAGCTTTTTGTGAAACAGTGCCCAACGTACCTCCGAACGCGCTTGACACGCGGCAGGTGGTGTTAACAGCAGTGATGTTACTAAATAGTGAAACGCCATGAATGTGAGTCTTACGTACTTGTAGCTAACCTCACCTGGTTTCCATCTCTCTTTTGGTTGTGTTGCTTGTCAGGGTTGGAGACGGCGACGGGGACATCCTTGTGGACAGCAACCTGTCCATCATGCAGCAGCTCACCCCCGAGGTCGATCCCGCAAGGTAGGGAGCAGGATAGGATACTGCTACTGTACATCGCCACGTAGCGGGCCCCTTTATTTGGCGGCATTGGGGTCCCTGTATTAAAGGCCGCAGAAAGGGTTCCTGCTGTACCAAGGCCGCATGTAGGTCCCTGTAAACGACCAATAGGAGTTTTGATATCTGTATGCATACAAGGCGACATAGGGGTCCCTCTTTCACGCGATATAGGTCACTTTATGAAAGGCAGCAAAAAATATATAAAACAGGGGTCCCTGTAGAAAGGTGATGTGGGGGTTCCTGTATGAAAGACGGCGTAGGGGTACCTGTGTAAGGCCCGTATAGTGCGAAGGGGATTGATTGATTGATTGGCCGGCCTCATACATGCCGGGCACGAGTCAGAGTACTGAAGACAACTTCATTTCATCTGTTAAGCGATTTCACCGGCCTTAGGGCAACCGGCCTTACCTACGCCGCCTTAGTCAAGGACCACCATTTACTGCTACAGCGTTTTCGACCATGTTGTACATGCGCATGCTACAGTGCAGATAGTCGTGACCGTATATAATGTAGTAAGGTAGGGTACACCGTGGGCCGACCCTCGAACGTGACGTAGGGGGAAGGTATGGTGTAGGAGTATTGCGTGATCACAATTGTAATAAGACTAAACGTACGCATAGTGTGATGTGAGAGGCGATGTGAGTTTAGTACGACGAGCGAAAACCGCCGCGCACGGCGTCTTTTTTTCCCCACACGACTACGACCATCCCAGGCTTGTCCGGGAAGTCCAAGCCCTGCCGCTCATCTCCACCAACATGATGGGAGGGAGCGGACTAAACCGGATGTACACGTTCCACTCGAACGTCCTCTATCTCTACGTGCAGGCGAGTGGTGGCTAGGCGTCTGTTGCCGTGGTATTTATTTAGTATTTTTTGTGTCGTTTGGGGTTTTTCCACCGCCGCGACGGTGGCGTTTGTTGTTCTGCTTCTTTGGGGTGGCCCGTATTGGCGTCTTTCCCCTGGTTGGTTGGTTGGTTGGTTGGTTGGTTGCTCGCGTGGGTTCCGTAAACGTTCCTTGTTGTGTTAGTCTCCGTGTTGTAGTAGTCTGTGTTGCAGGACAACGGAGAAACTTAATTGTTTGCAGCCCAATTGGGCGTATGCTGTGTGCAGGAACGCCCCGGGAAACATCAATTCGGTCCCAGCTCTCCTTTACCCACATGGGGGCGGGGGTGTAGTAACGCATGTCGAGTCATTGACCTCGCATCCCTACACTGCCGGGGCGGAGCGATATTTCGCCGGCCCAGGCTACTATGGGTGGGGCGGGGGTCGTTTGTTAACGCAACTGCACCTCTGTGGACTTGTCTTCTGCCGTGACGCTCGTAAAAGGGGCTGGAGAGGTGCCAGCAGCGCAACCTGGCCATCCGCGTGGAGCTGCGGCTGCTTCCTTTGGGCAAGGAGAGCCGTGCTAGCGTAGGGGACTCGTTGCCGGCCATCTTCAGCCACCAGCTGGGGCCCACGCTTGTGTCGGAGTGCTACGCGCAGGTGGGGGGCAGGGGGGGCGGGCGTGTGTTGTGTTGCATCGACGGCGCTAACGAGCCGACCAATGAGAAGAAGTCGGTCTTTTTTGGCTGCGTGAGACAATTAAGAGTTTCATTTCTGGTCGTCGAGCTCTCCCGCCAGGGGGAGGCGCAGAGGACGTTGCAACGGATGGTGTTTATTTTTTAGCTAGCATGGACCACGCGCGAGGTAGCTGACCAAATGAAATGACGTCAATCTGGGTGTCTCGTTGTGTATGTGTTTTCATTCGTATTGGCCCAATCGGGTATATGCGGTCAGTCGACGAGCACCCGTTTTTTCCCTAAGCGGGTCATGAGGTTTGTGTGATAAAGTACGCCAACCAACCTCACACCCCTGACCGCCGCCCCCCCCCCTCCCCCCCCCTGTTGTGCGATATTTGATGAAAGTGTCCTTACTTCAGCGGCGCCGTTACTATCCATCCAGCTTTTTTGGAGAAATACATGACACAGCAGTCAAAGACTACCCGTTCGCTTTTGAGTCCACCAACCGGTCGATGTGAACCTTCTTTCCCCGTGCATCCACCCAGACGACCTACCACAGCCGGACGCCGCAAGTCTGCGACGAGATCAAGGTGCAGCTCCCGGAGCAGCTGTCCCCGAGGCACCGGCTGGTGTTCACCGTGTTCCACGTGCACGTGAAGCGCAAGACGGGGGGAATGTTCGCCAAGAGCGGGAGCGTGGACGAGCAGGTCAGTCGACGCCCTTGTTGTTGGTGTTGGTGTTGATTTTGATGTAGCTGTTGCTGTTGCTGTTGTTGTTGGTGTTGTTGATGTTGATGTAGCTGGACGTTGTTGATGGTGTTGTCGACGTAGCTGTTGCTATTGATGGTGTTGTTAGTGATGTTGATGTTGTTGTTGATGTTCATGTTGATGTTACTGTGCTGTTGATGTTGATATTGGCTGTAGCTGTTGTGTGCGTACTCTTTTGATCACGAAGCTTCGTGAGATCGTGCAAAGTTTGAGGTTTTAGTCGTGCCGAGTCGAGACACGCATCCCTGTCGGTTTTTGCGGGTCAATTTCTGCTGTCCGCTTCAACATTGCGGGCCCATTACCCTGCTGCGTCGTGTGTGTGCTTATTTTTTGCTGCCAAAATTCAAACTCTCGACGTCGAACAACTGACGGACCGATCGACGGGTGCAGGTGGAGTTCCCCATCGGCATGGGAACGTTGCCCCTGATGAGGAACAGCGCCACCCTGCTGCCGGATGACCAGCACCTCATCTTGCTCAGTCCCAACGCCAACGTCGCCTCGGCGGCGATGGAAGACAGCTTGAGGGACGAGATGGGCGGCGACCCCACGTGAGACAGAGGGGGGGGGGGAGCTGCTGTTGTTGATTGCGACGTTGTCTTCGTTGTTGTTGGTTTGGTTTTTCATGGCTAGCGTTGGCGGTGTTTGTGGCGGTCGTGTATATCTGCAATCGTTGAGCTATTAGGTGGTGATGTCTTACCGTTGATGCCGGCAACGTTGGGTCTGACTGAAGGTTGAAGGTTGAAGTACGTTGGTGGTAGCACGAGGCGAGGAGGCGTGTGCTTTGCAGACATCGTTGGTGCTTTTGTTGAAGCCTTTATTCCTTCGCCATGTAGCGCCAATGTTTTTGAAGGCACGCCCTCCGTTTGGTGCGTGTGCTATTTTGGTTTTCGTGCCGTCAGAGCTCGTCCTCTTCATGCAATAGAATACCGATGTTATCTCAGTGTCATGCCCGTGGTCACTGTGGCTGATTTTTCACGGAACTCCCTGCGTTGTGTCGTATTTCTACCTCATGCGTGTGGTCTCGTGTCGAACACAGGATGCTCACCCACTCGCCTATGTCGGCATCATCCAGCTCCACCAGCGGCGGGGGCGCCATGTGTATCCGAGTGCAGACGCGCGCCGTCAGCTCTCTCTACACCCAGGTGCGTTTTGGCAGCGTGGGGGCGACCCTCTTGAGGAGTATTGGACGCTTCCGCCTCTACTTGGACGATGTACTATGCAGTCGTGCGTGATAACGAGAGCAAGAGTGCTCATCCAACCACCCCCAGAACCCTTGAAGTAATTATGTAGCGTGTTTCCTCGCATACCTGTACAAGAGCTGCCACCCTCCGTTGGAAACCGGAGCGACATACCGCACAAAGGCTTGTTACTCCAAGGATTTCTCTCACACAGTTTCTTCTCGGCCCTCTTCCCACCCACCCACTCACCCCCGCCGCTAAGCCTCCCGCCCCCCGCCCACGCTGTATTGCC